GCTCCTATCTGCTGACCTCATTTGAACTTAACCTTCCCTCACCTGTCTAGCGGTGGGCAGTGGGCCCGCAACATCCCCCTACTCCTCCGAAGGGCTGCTCGGGTCCCTCCCAGCCTAGTGTCTGGGCCAGTACTTTTGGAAACCCACCTGAAGGACAAAGGAGCAGGTCTCCGGAGGTCCCTTCCAGCACAGAGAGCTAAGGGTCAGCCCCAGAGAGCCTGTTCCCTGTCACAGGGAGGAATTTTCAAAAGTTCAAGGTCAAATGGAGGGGAAACATCCCAGCAGCAGCCTCTACGCCACCACCTTTTGAGAACCTGGGCAACAGGAACCTACGAATTACTATGCACTTGAATCCAGATGTGGAGCCATGGAGTCTTGAGAGGAAGGTGACCTCTCCCATGAGACCTCCAACGGGAGGTCACAGGGAGCTGGTGAAAATTCAGATTCCTCAGCCCCACATGCAGACGACCTGAGGGGGGGCTCAGGAATCTGGACTTTTAGCAACGCCCCAGGTGATTCTGAAGCAGGTGGCTGCAACTCTCAGAAACAGCTGTGCGCCACAGGTCTCAGGTCTGAGGTCTGGGTGCACTCAGCCTGGGGGCAGGGCGTGATCAAGACGATCCCTGGGTCCCCTCCACCAGGAGGGAAAACCGCCATTGATGGCGTTCCTACTGAGTGCTGGGCGTCACTCGAGGAGCCCGCTCCTGTGATGGCTAATCCTCCCAACGGTCCCAGGAAGCTGGCAGTGTGAGGCCCCTTTCTGCAGATGGGGGAAGAACAGAGCAGAGAAGTTAAGGAGCTTTCTAAGCCACACAGCAGGGAGAGGGGTGGAGCTTGGAGCTGCATGCTGCTATGACAGGCCAGGGAGGCCGAGTCCCTCCTCTCCCTGGGGTCCGGGACACACCTCTCAGGCCATAGGCACACAACTGCTGGCTCACCGTACTACCGCCAGGGATTTACTGACTTTGCCAGTTACATATTTTTATGTGTACTGTTTGAATATTTATCCCAATTTTCACCCTAAGTTAAATTTTTTTCATGTAAAGAAACCACATCGTATACCCATCACCCCGGCCGCGGCTGGGCAGTGGGTTTAAGCTTCTCTGTGTGAGTGCAGGGTCTTCACTTTGTGAGGGAGCGTGTGGCTGGAGGGCAGGGGATTTTAGGATGGACTCCCTCATGGGCCAGCAGTTGAACTCAGATTGTTTCAGGCGTGACTCCTGCCTTTTCTCTTCACGGCTTATTCTGGGGGGACAATTTCATGACCAGTGTCCCGGGAGCGGTCATGGGAGCAGAGCGGCCACTTCCAAGGCCCTGCTCCAGCTCCACCCTCTGGGATGCTGGCAAGATCGGCTGCTCCTCTGGCTCCTGCCACACGGGGCACCCATCCGCCTTCCGGCCTCAGCAAACCCTCTCTAAGGCGGTTTCTCTCCACGTGGGACGCACAGCAGCAGTTAAGAGTGGACTCTGGAATCACACAGCCTGGGTTTGAAACTTGACCCCCTCACTTTCTAGCTGTGTGACCTTGGGAAGGTTATTTCTCTTTCTGTGCTGTATTTTCCTGTTTCGTAAAATGGGGACAGTAATAGCATCTACCTCCCAGGGGCGCTGAGGGGCTTAAAAGAATTAGAAAAAAGCACTGAGCTCAGGGCCTGCCCATTGTAGGCACTCAATGAATATCAGCTACGGTTACAATTAGGCCTGGGGCCCAGCACGGGGCCTGGCACATGCAGTGGGTGCTCAGTTCTTATTTGCCGAATGAATGAACCAACTGTTTTTAATGCTGATACCCAGTTGTATGAATCTCTAGGATGCTGACTGGAGAACCCAGCAACCAGGTGACAATGTTTGCATTTCACCAGGACCAAAGACCAGTATCTCAAACCCTTCTGATTCATCAGGGAGGCAGGGTTTGCAATTCAGTAACAGAGGCCAGGTCAGAAAGTAGAGCCAAGTTTGCAGCAAAGATCGCTAGTCCCCTGCAGAGTGCACCTCAGGTCCTGTGGCCTAGAGCTGACGCCATCTTTGGCTTCAGAGTACAGGGCGCAAAATCCGTGGTTCAGTTTAAGTTTCCTGGGCACTAATGCAGAGTTCACAGTGAGGCTCACTTTGCCTTAAATGGAAGTTTTAAACTTTGAAATGCACTCCTGGGCTACTTAACCTTCTGAACCTAATTTCCTTCTCCTGTAGGTGGGGATCACAGGACCTAGTTGGTAGTTGATCTGAGGATTGTATACTCTGCAATAATTCACAAGCTTTCTACAGGACCTAGAAGAGCAACTAGAATAACTGTAAAGATTACAAAGTACAAATAAACCAGCCCCACCTGAGATGGCCACGTTCGGGGCCTAGGTCACTGGTTCTCAGACCAGGGCTGGTTTTGCAACAGCCACCCCCCTCTCGCCCCCCGCCCCTGCTCAGAGGACAATTGAAAATGTGTGGAGACATTTTTGGTTGTCACCACTCAGGAAGTACTTCTCGTATCTAGTGAATAGAGGTCAGGGATGCTGCCAAACACCCAGCAGTGTGCAGAATGGCCCCGTGACAAAGAACGATCCAGCCCCAAATGTCAATCATGCCAATCATGCCAAATGTCAATCATGTGAAACCTAATGTAAGGTTAGTGCAGATTCAGGTTAACCTTCAACACACAAAAGATGTGTTTTTTCCGTTGTGTGGGCAGAGCTTCGTGAATTGTCACAGGATGAGGAGAAGAAAATGATTAACACACTCATATACACACACAAAATTCCACGCAGCTGCCCAAGTAGCATTGTTTTGGGACTAAGATCCTAATACTGTTGGCAAAGGTCAACCTTCCAGGAAGTTCTGAGAAATGCAGTTTTTCATGTTGATTTCCTGGGCTGATTTCATGACTAATTGCCTCGCATCACACCCAGGAGAAATCCAGCAGCACAGAGAGCCTCTGCCTCTGCTGTGTAGTTTAACCCCCAAGTTCAGACAAACCATCCTGTTCGTGTCTAAACTCGTTCTCTAAAAATAGGCTGTCCATCTATCCTTCTATCCATTCATTCTTCCTTCCTTCCTTCCTTTCTTCCTTCCATCCTGCCATCCCTCCAACACTAAATGCCCGCTACGTGCCCGTCAGAGTTGTAAAGGCTGAGATATGATGGTGAGCAATGCAGACAAGGGCCCTGCCCTCATGGAGCATGTGGGGAAGGAGCTGAACAAATAGCCCAGCTATGACATCGACCTTCTCTGCGTCTTTCCAAGAGCCCCAGTGGATGCCTCACATTGTGGATCCTGCCGAGTCCTGTACATGCTATGTTTTGTTTTTTTTTTTTACATATATATCTATGGTAAAGCTTAATTTATAATTTAAGCAGAGTTAGAGATTACCAGTAACTAATAATAAAATAGAATAATTATAACAACATACTGTAATAAGAGTTATGTGAACGTGGTCTCACGCTGATAAATTACTTCAAAACTGAGATGACTATTACGTGACTAATGGGAGGGGGCAGGGATATGCTGGACAAAGAGGTGATTCACATCTCTGGCCAGATGGAGCAGAACTTCAAGATTTCACCACACTATTTAGAACGGCTTGTAACTTAAAACCTAGGAATTGTTTATTTCTGAAATTTTCCATTTAATATTTTTGAACTGTGGTGGACCATGGGTAACGGAGACCATGGAAAGCTGAACTGCAGAGAAGGTGGGGGAAGCTACTGTAATTAAGTTGACGATCTCAAGATGAGGTCAGCCTGTACATTGTCCTTATAAGGGCCATGCAGAGGAGAGGAAAGGGAGGAGGAAGAGAAAGCCATGGAAGATGAAGGTGGAGACTGGAGTGATGCAGTCACAAGCCAAGGACACTTGGAGCTATCAGTTGCTAAAAGAGTTTTGAAGGGTTCTCGCCTACAGCCTTCAGAGGGAGTGAGACCCTGCTGACACCTTGCTTTCAGACTTTTGGTCTTCAGAGCTGGGAGAGAATAAGTCTGTGTTGCTTTAAGCCACCCATCCATGTTACAACTGCCCTAGGAAATGAACGTAATGAAATCCTGTGCTGCCACTCACTGAGCAGTCATGGGCAAATTGCTTAACATCTCTGAGCTGACTTCCTCATCCATAAAACGGACCACTAGGATCCAACTCATTAATGCATTCAATAGATGTTTACTGAGTGTTTATTATGTGCAGGTGCTGGAAGTGTGTGGTGAAGAAAACTGGGCATAGTTCTGCCCCCATGGGGCTTATGATCTGGAGGGAAAGCCAGTTACCAAACAAAGAAGCATGTAGCTAGGTGTTCAGCTGCAACAGGCGCGAGTCCAGGAAGGCTCTCCCTGGGAACTGATGGCTGAGGAGAGCGTGGAGGGAGAGGTAGAGGGTAACTGGGCAAGAGGAGCAAGACATTCTCCCGCCAGGGGAGGGGCATGCGCAAAGATGCGTGGTGCCAGAAGCAGGGCGTATTCGCATTCGAGGTAGGAAGAGGGGCAGGGGCCTGTGGTGAGAGATGAGGTGGGGGAGGGGCCAGCCCACCAGGAAGGGTCCTCTTTCTCTTGAGTGCAGCCGGAGTGGTCGTGGGTATGGGGCCAGCAGGCAGCATTGTCAGACCTGTGTCTGGAAAGGGTCACTCGAGCTGCAGGATGGAGGACAAACTGCTGGCCGGAGTGGTGGCAGGAAGACCTGTGAGGGGGGACCCCTGCTGTCATCTAGAATGGGGCTGACTGATGGTGGCTCAGATCAGGGTGGTTGGTGGAGAGGGGGAGGGGGCCAGATTCAAGAGCTACTTGGGAGGTAACACCTCAGGGCATGGTGAGGAATAAATGAAGTAACCGCAGAGAAGCACCACACAGTGCTTGGCACGAAGAAAGGGCTCCCTGACTTCCCAACGATAAGGGGTTCCTTTTCCTTCCTCACACCAAAAAGACCAGGGGGAATCAGGCCACAGGTGGCCACACGCATCCCAGGCTTTACCAGCTGAGGGTGAACATGAGTGCCCACAATTTACAGAACTTAGAAAATCAACTCACCATCCTTGAGTGAGAAGCTCAGCAGGTCCTGGGGAAAAACAACAGGAATTGGCAATAAGTGGACATGTAACCAGCCTGCTCATTCGACAAATATTTATTGACGCTTACTAACTGGGAGAACAAGACAGACAACGTCTCTGCCTTATACTCTACTGGTGAGTCAGGCAAATAAATAAGCAAATGAATGAATGTGTGAGAATTTGATGGCGTGAAATGAAGGAGGGGAAGGGCTGTTTTAAATCTGTTCACTTGACCCACCAACAACCTGTGTCACGGGCTGCCTGTTTTAACTGCAAACAGAGCAGGTGTGTGACAAGCCCAAGGGCACACAGCAAAGTTGCTGCTTGTGATAAAAGGCCCCACAGCATGGCACTAAGGAGCAGGGGCTCTGGAGTCAGACCGCCAAGGTTCAAATCCGGACTCAGCCACTTGTCAGCTGTATGACCTTAACGAGATACTTAATCTCACGGTGCCTAAGTTTTCTCATTTACAATACGGGAATGTTTATACTACCAACCTCATGAAGTTGCTTTGAGAATTAAATGAGTTAATATTTGTAAAGGTACACACACTAAGCATTGCTTAAGTAATAAATTAAATCAATAGTAAATATGCAATAATGGTAATCTAACATTAGCTATGATCATCATCACGATATTCTGATGAAATATTTTATCTTTCAACTGCCCCAATTAGAAGCAACGATCAGACTGACTTAGGAGATGATTTGTTCTGGTTTCCCTGGCAGCGGCCGCCTGGGGGGTGGGTGTACCTGAGTGATCACCAACGGGTCCTCCTTCAAGATGGGGTCCTTCATTAAAATCTGAGCAAACACGTCGGCTCCTTCGCCTCCCACGCCGCTGGCAAAGGCAGTCATGGTTGGCAAGACGGCTTCGGACAACTCCAGCCACTTCACCAGGCCTGTCACAAACTCTGTGCAGAAGGAGCTGAAAGACAGACACAACTGAGATCCTGAAGCTTCCAGACTGTGCACCTCACAAGGCCATTGGGGAGCTGAGCTTAGATGTGCTCATGCATGTGAACAGCCAACACATACACAATCCATGGTGACTGCATTGCATGGAATCCATTGGAGCCAAAACTTAATTTCAGGTGGTAGGGGTTTTAGCCTCTTCCACAGCAAACCTTTGACCAAAGAGGCTTGTAAACCAAAGGAACGAGGTCAACGAGCAGCCCCTGACCACGTGCCCTGGGCCCGGCCTGAGCCTGGGCTGTGCTGGGGGCTGAGGGATCAAAGAGGAATGAGATGCAGTTTCTGATGAGAAGCTCCCAGCGGGTGGACACAGGGGCATATCTAACGGATCCTGGTGGCATGGGATGCGCTAGGGCAGAGGCAGGAACCGAGCCCTGGTGAGTGCAGAGAGGGAGCCCCAGGCCGGCCAGCAGAGGCGAGGAGCAGTGACTAGAAAAGGCTTCCCACAGAAAGAGGTTTGCTGCGTTTGGAAGTCACTGAGGATGGGCTTTCTTGGGGTAAGTTGGCCGCTTGGCAGCAGACAAAGTGCAGAGAAAGAGGCTGTCCTTCCTCCATGGCCACTGCCGCCGTGGGGTCTCTCTCCACAGTGGGCACTTGAGTCCCGCCGGAGCCCCTGGGTGGGTGATCGCTGGGACGCCGCAGGGAAGAAGGAACCCCAGGAGCTGAGACGCAGCTGCAGGAAGCACGTGGCACTGTGCGGACAGCGGCAGCATCCACATCAGGCTTTGACTTGAAGTCACCGCTCGCTCGAGACAGTGAGGATGGTGAGCAGAGTGGTGGGTGGGCCGGGGGACGTGGGGCAGGGGAGTCAGCTAGGAGGTGATTACACCAGCCCGGAGGGAAGGCTGAGGCCTAGAAGCCAGGTCTGCCTCCAAACCCGGCACCCGCCTGCCTCCACCGCACTGCCCTGGCGCTCCCTGTCCTGGCCTCTGCACCCCCAGTTCTGGCCAGATCGGGGTGGGATCAGGCTTCCCAGAAACAGGCAGAGCTCCCTGGGGATGGGGGCGACATCAGGGTGCTCCCTGCTTGCATCACCTGGCCCTGGTCCCTGTGGATCCCAGAAAGCCCACCCATCCCAGTCCTGAGAGCTGGGGCCACTGAAACTCGTGTGGAGAGATCTCTGCAGGCCGGGCCCCTGACAGGAGTGGTGAAAAGCTCAGGTTCAAATCCCAGCCACACTGTTAGGGTCTGGGTCCCCAGGAGGCAGCTCTGAAATGATTATTAGGATCCTCTTGGGATCAGTATCTGTGGGAGGGCAGGGAGGATGCAGGGCCAGGCCGGGGAGCAGTCGAGGTACATGCCACCTCTACTGAAGCCTCAGGCAACCCTGCTGGGCGTCTGAAAGCAGGGTGACCCTTCAGAGTTGCCCCTGTGGGGTGGGATGGCTGGGCCTTTATGCCGTCACACAGCCGGTCCTCGGATAAAGACTGCCCCAAGAAGGGGGCGGAACCTTGGGCAAGGCGTCTCTCTTCAGCTGTGACAGGCCCAGGCCATGCTGGCAGCCCCTCTGCAACTGGGGGAAAGCCTTTCATTCTTAAAGGGACTTGTGAGCAATGCAGCATGTTGCAAAAGTAACTTGACCTCTCTGTGCCTCAGTTTCCTTATCTGCAAGTGGGTTTCAGAGATCATGATCATAAGCCTGTTCCAGGTGAAATGAGACAATACATATGAAGCGCCCAGGGCAGGGCTTGGCATGGAGGAGCTATTCAGCTTACGGTAGCGGGCACCATTATTTTTATTTATGGGATGGCCAAGGGAGGCAGTGGGGAACAGGGTGCGGGGTCAGGCCCTAAAGTCCCCTGGGGGAGTCTCCTTTGTGTCTTTTCTTCATCTCTCTCGGCTTCATTTTTCTCTGCTGTAAATGCAGATGATACCAGCACCTGCCTCAGGTCGGTTGGAAAGATTAAATGACATGGTAACAGAGCCTGGCACCTGATAACTCTCAATACACGTTAGCTACCGCTGCTCTGGCTACGATAATTTGCTTCACTGCTGCTCCTGGGGTCACCCAGCATGGCCTGCGGGTGTGTCGGGGGGCGGGGGAGGGCTATGTGGCCTGAGCACTACTTAGGAATAAATTTCTCTGCCGGAGGGCACGGGGCTGAGGGCAGCAGCGTGGCCTGGCCCTGCGTCCCTGAAGAACATCTTGGAGGCGGAGAAGCATCTCATGACAAGAGTGGAGGGGTTAGGAGCAGAGACTCTGGTTCAAATCCCAGCTCTGCCACTAGCTGTGGGATCTTGGACAAGTTACCTAACCTCTCTGTGCTTCAGCTTCTTTATCTGTAAAACAGAGGCGATACTGATGAAACCTATTTCAGGGGGTGTTGAAAGGATTAACTAAGTCAACATTTGTCATGTGCTTAGAATAATACCTGGCCACATATAAAGCACTATTTGTGTGCTTCTTTAAATGAACTAGTAAATTAATAAATATTTCATATATATGTAAAGTGGCAGTACAGAAATCTATCAAATAACAAACAGCATTTTTGATCAGCAGGGCCTTGGTAACCACTTCTAAAGTGGTGGGAGGTCTAGTCGAGATACGCAAAGATCAACAGCAACAGTGACAACAAATGATAATCACAGAGCAACTATCGCTCAGTCCTGTGCTGAGTGCTCTACACGCTGCTTGTTTGCTTCCCATCACATCCCCATGAGGGAGGGAGGCATTGCTTTTACCCCCATTCTAGGTCTAAGGACACCCTGACCCCGAGGGGTTAAGTGACAGCTCTAAGGTTCAAGGCCACAACTCTCACTCCAGAGCTGCTCACCCACAGAGAGACGCCCTTCTCCAGAGATGACATTCCTGGGAACTCACCACAAGCCAGATGTTGGCTAAACAGGTGCGTCAAACATCCCCTTTCATCCTTACCGAGCCTTGCAGGTGGAGCCCCGGGGCTGCGGAGATTAAATGCCTTATCAAGGGCCTCCCTAACGGGCAGGGCAGAGCTTCACCTGGAGCCCAGAGGCCTACTGGAGTCCAGAGCTCTCCCTGCTCACCGGGGGCTTGCAAACCACCCAGGCGGCCACACCTGGCCTGCAGCCTGCTCTTGTATTAAGTTTTACTGGAACACAGTCACACCCAGTTCTGTGCTTTTAGGCTACAACGGCACAGCTGAGGGGCTGGGACAGAGACCACATGGCCCGCAGGCTCAAGTACCCTGTCCTCTGTGGAAAACATCTGCTGGCCTTGCTCTACCCACGCACACCTCCATGTTTAATAAATAGAATTAATCGCAGAAAACAGCATCTGGGACGTTTGCAGCATGGGTGAGAAATAAGTGCACTGGTACCTCAGTGCTCATCGCTAATCCGTTCCGGAACTCATGACGAGTGCCGAAACTCATGAGGACTGAACGATGAAGCATTTTCTCTCACGGGATGGTGTTTGATTCATACAAGTTCTAGCGAATGCGATGAGTCCAGTGCAAGCACCGAGTGCTGAAACATTTTTTTTTTTCTCATCAAAATGTGACGACTACATTTTGATGAGAAAAAAATGGGTTTGACAAGTTCTGAAGCTGACGATACTGAGGTATGGCTGTGTTTTAAAGGCTTGCTTTTGTGTCCCATGTGGACAAAAATGGCCGCAGAGTGTTTGCTTTGCTTTTTTTTTTTTTTTTAAATCCTCGTCTGAGGATACAATTATGGATTTTAGAGAGAGAGTAAAAGAGAGAAAGAGAAACATCATCAATCGGTTGCCTCCCGTATGAACCCGAAGCGGGGACTGGATCTGCAACCTAGGTATGTGCCCTGACTGGGAATCGAACCCAGAACCTTTTGGTGCCTTGGACAATGCTCCAACCAACTGAGCCACATTGGCCAGGGCCACAAAGTGTTTTCTTAAGATTACTGAAACCAAGAGCATATCTAGGCTGTAAAAAAATTGAGGCTGTGTGTAAAATGTGTTTTGGGTCAAGGAAAACCAAGATCAACCACGTGGAAAGAGTTGGCATACCGAATCAGAAACTTTCAGGAAGGAATGCCTCAGGACAGACGTTCCCAGCCTCACGTGCAATACTTGGATATGTGGTTGGGAGGGGGCACAGAGGACAATAACTCACATCCCTATGTATTCAGCACAGAGGACAATACCTTACTTCCTTATGTGCCCAGCACAGGCCTAGCATACTGTCTAGGTTCACAGAGTTCTTCCCCACCTGTGTTTCAGTTTATCAGGTAGGGGTTTATGAGGTCAGGGAAAGCTTCCAGAAAGATAGAGGCTCCCTAGATATGGCACTGGGATGGGCCAGAGTGGGGAAAGACTCAAACCTTTGCAGGAGATAGGACTCCGGCTTGCTTGGGAACAGAATATCCCATGAGATATATTCTAACCTCCAGATAGAGTATGTGAATTCATTATTAATAATGAGACTATCCAATATTTGTTTGGCAGCAGCTCTATGCCAGGCTCTGTGGGAGCCGTCAACATGTTCCCTCCTCGCAAGCACCCTCTCTAACAGATGCTGTTTCTCTGCAGCAGTAATTCTCCAGCCCCTTCTTCCTGACAGCAGAACCCACCTCTCATGGTGGAGGTTGAAAATGGCAAGTACCTTTATTTTTTTCCCCAGCCCCCTTTGCAGGTGAGGCTTGGGCAAGTGAGATCCTGGCCAAAAGGGGAAGCCCTCTTGGCCTATTCTGGGAAAGGCTTCCTCCCTGAGGAGAGAGACTTGAGGGGAATCCCTGCCCTCCTCCCTGTGCCTTGGGCCTTTTCCTGGGAGGGTGTGATTTGTGGAGCTGCAGCAGCCATGATGTGATCAGGAGGGGAAGGCCCAGAGGACTGCAGAGAAGCCAAACGAAAGGCTTTTTGAGGCACTCAATCAAGCCTGGAACTCCCTACCTTTTGATTTCCTGTTAAGTGAGAAAAAAGAAATCTATTGTTACTTGCAGCTCCAAATACCCTGACTGGTAGGAGTATGTTCAGTATTGTCTCCATTTTACAGATGAGAAAACTGAGGCAAATAAAGTAAGTCACAGAGTTTTCAAGTAACCAGTACCATTTATTGAATACCTTCTATGTGCCAGGCACAGTGTTGTGGGCTTTACCTACCTTATCTCATTTATTTCCCCCCTTTTATTGAGATATAATTTATAGATAGATGGATAGATAGATAGATAGATAGATATGTCACTGCGGAAGCTTAAGGTGTACATCACAATGGTTTAACTTACATACATTGTGAAATGATTACCACAATAAGTTTAGTTATCATCCAGCATCTCATATACATACAATAAAAAGAGAAAGCCAAAAATCGCTTTCCTTGGTGTGAAAACTCATAGGACTGGCTCTTTCAGCAACTTTCATGTCTATCATAAAGCAGAGTTAATTACAGTCATGCTGTACATTGCATCCTTAGTACTTATTTATCTTGTACAAAAGTTTGTACCTTTTGACCACCTTTCTCCAATCATTTAATTCTTATAATCACCCTGCAAGTGTGGGTGGGTCTTATTAGCCCACTCTACAGATGGAGAGACTGATGCGTAGGGAAATTAAATAACCTGCCCAAGGTTACATGTAAAAGTGGAAAAGTGGCAGAGGATGTGAACCCAGACGTGGGTCCAAAACCCATGGAATGGCTCCCGTGCTAATAAAGCCAGCATTTCTCTACCCCCTCTTTCCACGAATCTCACCCTGTGTCTTCGCTACGCTAAGCCGGGTGTAAGGCACTAGGGGCTCAGAGGTGAATGAGGGAGCTCCGACTGCTGGGGCGGCAGGCGTGGGAAGAGTTACAGTGCAGCCTGGGGCATGGCGATGGGCCACAGGGCACGCAGGCAGAGAGACGCCCTGGTGTGAGAGTGGGGAAGGTCAGGGAAGGCTTCCTGGAGGGGACCCCCAGGGAGATGAATATACTCAAGTGTTGTGTCCAGTGGGAGAGGCAAAGATAAAAAACAAAACAATACAGTTAAACAAAAACGCACAGCTAAGATCCAAGGCACGGGGAGGTTTACTCATGGCAGAGATTTGGGAGGCGGGGTCTAGAGAACACTGCTGATGTGAAAACTTCTTGTCATCTCCTGTTCCCCAGCTTGTTGCTCCCCATCTCAGTAATGATATCTCTCTCCTCCTAGGCGCCCACCCCTCCTGGACTTTTGGGGATAGTTAGTTCCTCCCCTCTGCCCCTGCAACATCCAGCTTGTCCCCAAGTCAACCCCATTCTCCCTGAGAAATGTCTGTCTCCCCCGTGCCCTCTCTCCACCTCTTGGTCTCCAATTGACTCCATCAGCCTCCTTACTGGCCTCCTCCTGCCTTTAGACTCTTTCCCTTTAGAGTCCTTGAAACCCTTGAAGGGCAAAGCCCAAGCTCTGAACAACTCTGCTATTAGAAATTTAAAGATACATTTAAATGCACGTGTTAGATATTGACAATGGCAGATATTAACGTGTTCATTAACCCTGTCATTCTTTACCCCATCTGTCTGCTATTATAATCAGTCTAGACCTCCAGACCTTGTTCTTCTTCGACTATAGGGTCTTGTAGTACACCCAGCACATAGTAGGAATTCAACAAATGCATGTGACATGAATGAATAAATATCTCATCTCCGTATTAGACTGTGTCCTACCTGAGGGCAGGGATGCTGTCCGCCTTGTTCACCTTATTCATAGATACCTTCCAGGTACTTCAAATGGTGCCTGGCACACAGTAGGTGCTCGGAAAATGCTTGGTGAAGGTGAGTGAAAGAGTGAGTGGTCAATGAGATACCCTATTTCCCTAGCAGGCTGTGGGCTCCTTAAAGCCAAGGACAATGACTTTCTTCCTTCCGTAGTGCCCCACAGTACCTGGCAGGCTGCTTGGGCTGTCAATAACAGTGTCTCTGAAGAAGCATGACCTTCCCTCTGCGAGACAGAAGCACTCACCTTTGCTCAGGTTCTGGAAATAGCTGGGACAGGGATATGCCACAGAGGGCGGCATAGGCAAAGCGGTTGGCCTCTGACAACTCCCGGCCCACGGGCAGGCGTGGCTCCCCCTCCACGGCTGGCTCGGCCACCTGACGCAGCCTGAGGCTTGACCTGTCCCGCGCGGCCATTGCCTGTCCTGCAGGAAAAAAGCCCGGTGAGTGAGAAAGACATCCAGGGGTAGGCAAAGGTCATTTAAATGGGACACAAAAATTATCAAGCCTAAGAGAAAAGATTGATAAATTAGCTTGCATTATAATTAGGAACTTCTATTCATCATCTTTAAGAGAGTAAAAACACATACCAAACACTAGTAGGATATATTTTCAATACGTATTTCAAGAGAGGATTTGTATCCTTAGTATTTAAACGACTCCTTTAAGTCAAGAAGAAGAAAGGAGGCAAATTTTAAAATAGACAAAATAGCCCTCGCTGGTATGGCTCACTTGGCTGGAGCATTGTCCCATACGCTGAAAGGTCACTGGTTCAATTCCCAGTCAGGGCACATACCTAGGTTGTGGGTTTGGTCCCCGGTCAGGGTGCATATAGGAGGCAACTGATTGTTGTTTCTCTCTTACATTGATGTTTCTCTCTCTCTCTCCCCCTTTCTAAAAAAAATCCTAAAAAAAAAAAATAGGCAAAACAGGTACTTCATAAAAGACAACCAATGGCCAATAAGCATGTGCAAAGGTGCTGAACATCATTAGTCATCAGAGAAATAGAAATTCCAACCCCAATGAGACATTGCTACTCACCCATCAGAATGGCTAAAATGAGAGACTGACAATATCAAGTGTTGATGAGGGTAAGAGACGAATAGAACATTGCATCGATGTCTCCCTCTCTTTCTCCCTCCCCTCCCCTCACTCTAAAATCAACAAGCATGTCCTTGGGTGAGGATAAAAAAAAACTCAGTGAGATACTACCATTCACCTGTCAGACTTGTTAAAACTAAAAAGACTGACAATACCAAGTGCTGGTGAGAATAAGGAGCAAATGAGACTTTCATATACTGTTGATGGAAGTGTAAACCACCACTTGGAAAAGAGTTTGACACTATCCACTAAAGCTAAACATATGTTCTCTATGCTCCAGTAACTTCATTCCTGAGGAACAAGGACTTCTGTTCACCAAAAGGCATGTGTAGGAATGCTCATAAAAGCTTCATTCATAACAGTCCCAAACTACAAACAACCCACACGTTCGCTTGCTGGAGAATGGATGAACTGCCCCATATTCAAACCATGGACTATTACACAGCAATGAAAAAGGATAAGGTCTGGTTAACTACAATAACATGAGTGAATCTCATAGACAAAATGGTAAGCAGACAGCCATTCATGAGGATACATTCTATACGGTTATGTTTACATGACCTTGAAGAACAAATCGAACCACTCTGAGGTGATAGCAGTCAGAAAAGAGGTTACCTGTGGGAGGGAATATTGGCTCAGAAGGGGCACAGGAAAGCTTCTGGTGACAGAAATGTCCTACATCTTGGCCCATATGGTAATTACATGGGTATAAGTACAATGAGAAAGTCATTCAGCTGTATACTTAAGGTTTGTGCACTCTATGAATGTTCTACTTCAATGAAAGGAAGGAAGGAAAGGAGGAGAGGAAAAAAAGAAGGAAAGGAGGAAGGAGGTCTTCTTTCCCCTCTCTCCCTCCCTTTATTCTTTCCTTCCTTCCCAGGGGGAGAAGGGGAAGGGCAGGGAGGGGAGTGGTAGAGAAGGAAGGGAGCAAACCAAGCCAAGGCCGGTATTCAAGGGGCAGGAAGGGGCCTGGCAGCAAGTACCAGGAAGGGTACCAGCCTTGACCACAGGACATTGTGGATGTGAACACAGGCTCAGGACCAGACAGAGCTGGGTGTGAATCTGACCACCTCTATCTAATTGATATGGGACCTGGGGCAACACAGCCTCTCTGTACTTAGATTTCTTCACCTACAAATGGAACTACAACAGTATCCGCCTGGAAGAGCTGTGTTAGCAGTAAACGGCACAGCCATGCAGATTAGTATTTGCAAAGCACTTAGAACAGAGCCTGGTACAGGGCTCATGCCCAATAAATGTTTGTCAAAGAAATAAACCCATGAAACAGTCAACAAAAAAACAAATGAAATGCTCAGCACAGTGCCTGGCACACGGTAATGGTTTATAAATAATAAGAGTTAAATTAGGATTAGTGAGCCATAGCTGGATGCCAGGCCTGGGCTGCGGTTTTAACATACATAGTCTCAGCCAGCTCGACAAGCCAGGTAAAACCACAGTGTCCAGAGTGCAAGTGAGGGAACAGGCTCAGACAGCAAGTAACTGGGCCCAGGTCACACAGCCAGTAAACCGTAGACCAGAGCCCCACACTAGCGTCCTTGACCACCACCTTGGTTTAAACACTCATCCTATCAGGAAGAGATTTCTAGTCTAATACACATACTGTGCACCGATTTTGGCATGTAAATCCATTCTCATCTAGCTGAGCTGTAACATTTTTGTTCTTAAAGGATAACTTCTATGAAGGAGTTATTAAAAAGTCTGTCTACAACTAGTATTTCATTAGCTTTTCAAAAGAAACCTGAGCTTCATTAGAAGCAACAAATCAACATCTGCGTGGCACATCCAGTTGACAAAGCACTTTCCAACCCATTTAATTCTCACCAGTACCACGTAAGGGAAAACGGGACGTGAACCATTATGATTTTCAGGCTCGGAGAGGCCGAGCGATCTCCCCCAGGTTACACAGTAAGTATGTGATAAAAGTCAAGCCAGGCTTTTGGCTCTAAGCCTGTGCTCTCTCCTCTACACCTGCACGGGGATCCTTCTTCCCTTGTTTCGGATGGAGAGATCGAGGCATAGAGAGGGAAAGACTTCGCCCAAAGTCACCCAGTAAGATTGGCCTCCAGTGATTGCTTCAGGAACCGAAGTTTGAGATTTGCATCTTTCCCTGACTCAGAGGATCATCCCACACCACAGGGGCGGACCAAGGGGACAGCCACAAGGCAGGAACTAAGGACAGCACTGGGGGCAGCAGCCAGCCACGGCAGCAGGCTTAGCAATTTCCACGACACGGAATCAACTCCACGTGTCCTTTGGAGGCTGTGGTAATTGTGCCTACTACCTGGAGGGGCCCAGGATGGTATTTTCCTGGGCTGGTCCCTAGGGAGAACCACATTAGTTTTTGGTTCAAGAATAAACATCCTTCTAATCAGAGGAGCATGTGCTAGACCACAGGCAAGAGGGGGGCATACAGGGCGGGGCAAAAGCAGGTATGCAGTTACGAGTACGTGCTGCACAGTTTATTCTTGTATTATTATTTCTTAATTATTATTTTCTGTGTGAACAGCAGTAAACCTCCTTTTGCCTCACCCTTTAGTTAGTGCACACAAAGCTCAGCTCAGGCCAAATTCATTCGTTCATTCAACAAATACACTCGTCATGCCCTCTAATCCGTTCTCTCTACAGCAGCCCTAGTGGCCTTTTTGTCATATACACCAGTCCTGTCACTGGCCTGCCTAAAAGCCCCCGAAGGCGTCCCGCTGCACGCGGGCGACTCCCCATCCCCCTAGGATGGCCTACAACATCCTGTGTGATCGGCCCCGCCTGCTTCTAAACGTCTCATGCCCCCGACGCGAGTTGTCACTGTGCTAGAGCCACGCGGGCGGCCTTTCCACTTTCCGAACATGCAAGCTGGTCTCCCCCCGGGCCTTTGCACTTGCCATTCCCCCTGCCTGAGACACCCTTCCCCTGACCTTGACATCAGTCTGACCTCAGCCCAACTGTCACCAGGCTAAGTACTTCTGCCTCTCTATCCCAGCATCCTGTCTAGTTTATAATACTTAGTCCTATCTTAAATAATATATATTTAATAAATTTTATTTATTTTTAGGGAGAAGGGGTGGAGAAAGGGAGAGAAGCATCAATGTGTGGTTGCCTCTCGCACGCCCTACCCCCCGCCCCACCCCGGGGCCTGGCCCGCAACTCTGGCATGTGCCCTGACTGGGAATCGAACTGGTGACCTTTTGGATCGCAGGCTGGTGCTCTATCCACTGAGCCACACGAGCCAGGGCTTAAATAATATATTTTTAAATTACTCATTTACCTATGGATACACATAGAAAATAAGTGTCTCAGGAAGGCCCCTGGCTTTTCTTCACTGCCGCACCCCGAGCTTTCTGAGCAGGCCCTGGATATTTTAGGTGTTCCATAGCTACTTGCCAGATGAATGAGGAAGGGAATATGATGTGTGCTGTTCTGTTCTGGTCCTTGGGGCAGATGAGGGGACAAAAGTGACAAATTCCCTCCTCTTGAGGGGCTTATGTTCTGGTGGGACACAGACAGTAATACAATACATAGCGATAATTTAAGTACTTGCCCAAGATCACATAGCTAATAAGTGGCGGGACCCAGATTTGCACTTGGGCCGCCTGGTTGTAGGGTCCATGTTCTTAGCAGTCCGCTAGATAAAGAGCAAACATTTGGTCAGGAAGCGACCACCAGGGAAGAACAATTAGGCAGAGTGAGGGGGACATGAAGCGATGGGCCGGCGGGAAGTGGCTGCGGGGTGCCAGTGAACGGTAGAGGTGCCGTGCCGGCACAGGCCGGCAGGAAGTAAAGGGGACAGCCCTGCGGGTGGACGGGAGGGCATTCCAGCAGAAGAAACAGCGCAGCGGTAGAGGGAGACCAGTAAGCTGACAATGACAAGCCAGCAGAATAAACGCTGTGATGGAGGAAACACAGGTAGAGCGAGAGCAAGAGGGGGCCTGGAACCCAGAACTGGCTTCCTGGAGGAGGTGATGTCAGATAGGGGCAGGTGGGGAGGAAGAACCTGCTCTGGGTAGAGGGGGCAGCACATGTCAAGACTCAGAGGTGGAAGAGAGATGATGTTTTTCAGTTTTTTTTAATCCTCACCCGAGGGCATTTTTTCATTGTTTTGAGAGACAGAGACAGAGACAGAGAGAGAGATAGAGAGAGAGAGGGAGAAACATTGATTGGTTGCCTTCTTCTATGCACCCTGACCAGGGACTGAACCTTCAACCAAGGCACGTGCCCTGACCGGGAATTGAACCCCCGATCTTTCGGTCTATGGGAGGATGCTCCAACCAACTGAGTCACACGAGCCAGGGGCAAAAGAAGATGCTTTTTAAGAACCAAAAAGATGCCCAGTGCAACCCGGGTTTGGACAATGGGAGGGAAGAGATGAGGTTGGAGGGGATGCGGCCGGGGGCCACGCCAGGGCAGGCCAAGTTCTCCCAGCGAAGGACTCAGGCTTAATTGCAAGGCCACAGCCATGCAAGGAGCTGTGAGGACATGCAGGACCTCTCCATACTATTGTTTTTACAACTGCCTGTAGTCTATAATTATTTTAAAATAAAAAGTAAAATAAATAAATAAATAAAAGAACTGTGATGTCTCTCTAGGATTCAAAAGACATTTTCTTAAGGTCTGAGTAAACTAAAAACACAAATTCGCCTCCTCCCCAAATTAAGCAGTTAGTTAATTCAATAAACACCTAATGGCACCTCTTATGGGCCAGGCACCGTCCTACATGCTGGGGACGCACCTGTGACTAGGACAGATAGACAACAGCGCTCCATCACGGAGCTACATTCTAGTGAGGCAGACAGACAATATATAAACTCATAATATCTAAAATAAGACCATTTTAAATAGTGACGAGTGTTCTGAAGGAAAAGAAACCTTAATTAACACTTACGCAGATTTCCAGAAACAACTGTGGGCCTTCCGTCTAACAGGTTGTCAGCTTCTGGATGGTTCTTGGGGAAATATGCAAATTGCCCTGGAGAAGCAAACCAGAAAAACCAGCCAGTGGGTCCATAGCGTGTGGGATCTGCAGAAGGCCTGTGGGAGACAGGGATCCGGTTGCCCAAGCTCAGGAAGCCTTGCCCCGCAGGTCCCTCTACCTGGGATGCCTTTCTTGGCAGGGTGGCAGGCAGCTACAGGTCACTGAGCACAGCCCTGGACTCTGCTTGGACTGCCTGTTCTCACTCCTCGTACCCTGAGCTGCGGTGGCTGAGCCCACTCCTTGGTTAGCCTGGCAGGAGAGGGCACATGCCCGATCTCCTCCATCTCAGGCCTCAACCCGTACCTGCCACAGACTGAGCGCTCAGAAATTCCTGTTACACAAATGAATGAATGAACTAGGTCTGGGGCTTAACCAAGAGGTAGATTTTCCTGGTTATTCTCTCCTATTCTAACCGCCCCCCTCCACCTCCCTCCCATTGAGCATTAGGCAAAGAACAGAGATAGAATAAGGGCCAAGTGCCTAGAATTACCCAGGGATGTCCCAGAGCACCAACCCCAGGGTCCCCCAAAGCTTCAAATAACCTGAACTTCATCTTAACGGCCTGTTTCCACACCAAGGAACTAGAATATTATTTCCTGCCTCTTTAAGCCTCCGTAGGGTTTTTAATATGTAAATTATCAGTGACAACTGGATGTTCACCTTCCGCGGGGCATGGGAATGTGCCTGCACCACACCTACAAACAGAGTCAAGCTGCAAGTCCAATCAGGTTAAAAAGGCTCAGAGAAGGAAAGTGGCCATCAGAGTAGCCTCCAAAATTATTTCTGAGAGATGAGAGGCCAGAGACTTTTCTGCATTCCCCAAATTTTCTGCCCTAATGTGTATTGCTTTTGAACTTGGGAGAAAGTTATTTTATTTATGTCTCTGTCCACAGTGAGGGGACTGTTAGGATTTGCTCAGTTGCTGATAGCAGCTGTCTTTAAAAGCAGGCAGGAGGGTTGATGATAGATGATTTTAATTTTTTCTTTTACATTTCTGTTTTGTGAATTTTTAAAAATGAGTATGTATTGATTTTAAAATTAGAAAAAATAGACGTGATTTTAAACTATAATCTAATGTGCTGCTCCGGGCTCACATTGGCCGGTGAGGAGTAGCTCCAGGCACTTCTTCCCAACTCTGTATTTCAGTGACCTTGGTGGCCTGAAGTGGGCCACGGTGAGTGTTTACGCCAGAGAAATTGGCAAGTGCTGCAAACGAGGGATTTTATTTTCCAGAGAGGTGGTTAATAGCAGGCCACTGGATAAAGGATACGATTCCAGTTATGTTTTTAAAAATGTTTCACACAACAAGGAAGTACATAAAAATGTTAATAATCAAGGTCTCTCAGTGGTGGGCTGTGGGACTAGAAGTAACTGGTTTTTGTTCTTTCTATTTTTCTGTTTTGTTTTGTTTTTTAACATTTTCTATCATGAGCTTATGGGTGCTTTTATACTAGAAAAATAATTTTAATTAAAAGCAACAATTCTGTTCTCGATCCCTATAGAGGGAGTGTTTTATCTCGGAAAGTCCTGGCCCCCCGAAGACCAGCCAAGCCTCACAGGACAGTGGTCACAAATAAGTTCCATTCCTCTAACCAACGGGTCTTGTTATCAACAAAATGCACAAGGGTTGGCGTGACAGGCAGGAATCTTCAGCTGTCTGTGACGTTGGGTTGGAGGTGCCCATGGTTCCAGGTCTATAAAGTGTCGTGTCAGATGGGCTGGGCCCCCAACTATTCCAGCCACGGAGGGTGGTGGCAGCTGTCGCGGAAGGGGATGTGCCACCTGAACTGTGTATACCCGTCCTCAGGCGCCTCCACCCCTGGTCTGATTAGGGGTCGGGATCCAGTCCAAAGCCGAACTGACGTTCGCAGGTGCGTCTGAGAAGCTAGGCTGGTTCCAGGAGGGAGCGCTGGGCTCCCGCGGGGAGCGAAGACCCTGCAGGTCCGGGCCCGCGGAGCTCTGTGCTCTGCGACCCCCTCCTGTACACAGAGCTCATCCAGCAGCACCCGGGGCTCAGGAGGCCACTGATGGACACAGCAGCCCCCAGCTCTCGGGGCCTCCTGGGGGTCTTGTTCCTGAGCTGGCACCGTAAGGACGCCAAGGCCTGCACTTGACCCAGAAGAGCCCGGACTCCCAGCGACACAACAAGACAAAGTCGGGGGAGGGGGTGAGCACGGACCTTGGCTAGTCTGCGAAGGCCAGGTGCGGGGTGGGCAGGGCTTGCTCTGTGGTAGGACCTTGTTTGGATGCTCTGCGATTACGGTTTTTGTCCAGCCGGTCACATTATCCGTCACCAAAGCAAACGCTGGCTGCGTTATTTTGTCAGTAGCGGGGGCAGACAGTCGTTCTGCAAGCGTCTCCCCTCAGCCTGCAAGCACCCACAGTAGGTGCTCACCCCGGATTTGTCGGCTAACGGCACAGACAGCACGTGGGGCTTCTCCTCAGGTAGATGGGAAGTTCCAAAGGCAGCGCCGAGGAGAAAACCAAATATGGTCAATGTTGTCCTTGAAAGTCCTCTAAATCACCCTTAATACTCCATAACCGAGGCCTTTAGTACAGCACATGCAAGAATAAAGTTCTTTTGTTTTTCTTACATGCCAGAGAATGGTGGCCTTTTTCTTTTTAAACTTGGAGCAGCCAGTGAAGGTCAAGGTCAAATTCGATGTGCTTATGCATGCGCGCGTGTGTGTGTGTGTGTGTGTGTGTGGTGTTCCTCTTTCTCTCTCTTTTTCTCTTTTCCAGTCAACTAGTCACAGTTGCACTTAGTCAAAATCACAGAAACAGGAAGTAGAATGGTGGTAACCTCAGCTGGCAGGAGGGATATGGAGTTTCAGATTTGCAAGTTGCAAAGGTCTGAAGATTGGTTGCACAACAATGTAAACATGCCTAACACTGCTAAACTGTACACTTAAAAATGGTTAAGATAGTGAATTTTATGCTATGGGTGTTTTATCACAATTAAAATTTTAAATTGAAAGTCATAACAGCAAATGCTTGGTAAACGTTAGTCATGTGCCACCTCTTTCTGTACGTCATCTCATTTTCTCCCAACAATCCTACAGCATAGGTGCTATTATCTCCATTATACAGATGGAGACAGAAAGGCCCTGAGAAATGAAGGTCAAGGTCACGGGACAAGCAATATAGAATTTAAACGTGTGTCTTCTCTTTGGACTAGTTCAGGTCCTGAAGTGGCGAGAACAATTAATTCCAAACACAATTTGAAAACCACCAAATTTGATGCATCTCACTAGCTCCCACCTGTCCCCAGACTAACATCTCATTTTCCTGCCAGCCCCAAGCCTCTCTGGGGTGGGCCTGAGCTGCCTTTTCACTGGGCTGTGAGATTTGAGCCAAGACCCCAGCAAGGTAAGGGAGCTGGCCACGTGGTTTTCCAGAGGGGAGAGTGTTCCCAGCAAAGGGAACGGCCAAGGCAAAGGCCTGGAGGTGGGAACGTGCCTGGTGGGATCCAGGGTGGCGGCGTGGCTGGAGCAGAGCGGGTGAAGGGGGCAGGAGAAGGAGGCCAACTGTGTGGCCCAGGCACCATGATAAGGACAGTGACTGGTGAGGAGGGACATGGTCTGGCTTCAGTTTAGAATGGCGCTGCCTGGGGGCTGTGCGGTGGGCAGGTAGGGCGAGGGCTGAATGAAGAGGGAGACTGGCGAGAAGGCTCCCGCCAGGGAGATGATGGCAGCTCGTGCTGGGGGGTGAGTCGGGGAGGAAGGCACGATGACAAATGCGGACCAGATGTTAGAGAGCCAGGGCATCCACCCCGATGGCACCCGGTCACCCACCGCCACCTCGCCCACCCTCCAAGCTGTTCAGGTCAGGCTGGGATGGGAAGTTTTTGTGCCAAAGTTCCTTTTTCCTTCCAGTCTACAGTGGGAGTGCCCAAACGCCCCCCCCCACCGCCCCGTCCTTCTCTGTTGGATCTGTTGCCACAGAGACCTCCTAAGAAGCTGCATTTACTACTGGCTTCCAACTTAACTTCCAGATAAAGATACAGAAACAATGGGTTTCTCTCCCAAATCACTGGAGAGAGGACGGGGCCAGTAAATTGGGCCTGCCTAGAATCTCCCCTTCTGGGACCATCGAGAGAGAAAGAGAGAGAGAGAGAGAGAGAGAGAGAGAGAGAGAGAGAGAGAGAGAGTGTGTGTGTGTGTGTGTGTGTGTGTTAACTTTGATCTATGGCCTTCAGAGTTTCCGGCCTAAAAGCAGTGATGTAGCTCTGTTGTTATAAAGGATTTTTTCAGCCAGATGCTTTTCATTCTTGGCTCAAGAACAATTAGGCAATTAGTCCCCAGCCTTCCTGTGACACTATAGCCATCCCTCTAGTAGTAATGTCTATTTTACTGTACTTCAGACATCTTTAAAAGTGCACCTGTGACTAGTTAACCAGAAAAGAAGAAACGAGAAAACGAGAACACTGCACGTGCATGCACAGGCACATCAAGTTTGACCTTGACCTTCACTGGCTGCTCCAAGTTTAAAAAAAAAAAAGGCCACCATTCTCTGGCATGTAAGAAAAACAAAAGAACTTTATTCTTGCATGTGCTGTACTAAAGGCCTCGGTTATGGAGTATTAAGGGTGATTTAGAGGACTTTCAAGGACAACATTGACCATATTTGGTTTTCTCCTCGGCGCTGCCTTTGGAACTTCCCATCTACCTGAGGAGAAGCCCCACGTGCTGTCTGTGCCGTTAGCCGACAAATCCGGGGTGAGCACCTACTGTGGGTGCTTGCAGGCTGAGGGGAGACGCTTGCAGAACGACTGTCTGCCCCCGCTACTGACAAAATAACGCAGCCAGCGTTTGCTTTGGTGACGGATAATGTGACCGGCTGGACAAAAACCGTAATCGCAGAGCATCCAAACGAGGTCCTACCACAGAGCAAGCCCTGCCCACCCCACACCTGGCCTTCGCAGACTAGCCAAGGTCCGTGCTCACCCCCTCCCCCGACTTTGTCTTGTTGTGTCGCTGGGAGTCCGGGCTCTTCTGGGTCAAGTGCAGGCCTTGGCGTCCTTACGGTGCCAGCTCAGGAACAAGACCCCCAGGAGGCCCCGAGAGCTGGGGGCTGCTGTGTCCATCAGTGGCCTCCTGAGCCCCGGGTGCTGCTGGATGAGCTCTGTGTACAGGAGGGGGTCGCAGAGCACAGAGCTCCGCGGGCCCGGACCTGCAGGGTCTTCGCTCCCCGCGGGAGCCCAGCGCTCCCTCCTGGAACCAGCCTAGCTTCTCAGACGCACCTGCGAACGTCAGTTCGGCTTTGGACTGGATCCCGACCCCTAATCAGACCAGGGGTGGAGGCGCCTGAGGACGGGTATACACAGTTCAGGTGGCACATCCCCTTCCGCGACAGCTGCCACCACCCTCCGTGGCTGGAATAGTTGGGGGCCCAGCCCATCTGACACGACACTTTATAGACCTGGAACCATGGGCACCTCCAACCCAACGTCACAGACAGCTGAAGATTCCTGCCTGTCACGCCAACCCTTGTGCATTTTGTTGATAACAAGGCCTGTGTGACTTCAAACCCAGGTTCTTTTCTGCTTTACTAAAGAGGCTCAGGGGGCTGCCATGAGCCTTCGTGGATTTTTCCAGCTAACATGGGGCCTGCCACCTCTGAAGCCCCCAGACTTCGTCTGAGCCACCCCGCTGCCTCTCGGGTTTCAGGACTGCTTGCTTCTGTGCCTGTCCCGTGACTAGGAGGGTCACGGTGCGAGTCGATGATGCTCGGACATCAATGCCCCTCCCTGCCTCCCCAGCAGAGCTCCCTTGGTACCCCTTTGGGTCTCAATCAGCAGGTACTACCACTTCCCCCTCCCACCAGAGAATGGTGCCCTTTCCTTGGAATTTGCCCCACCTGACAGTGGATTACAGGCTTGTCTGTGGCCTGTCTCCCTCTCTAGGGAAAGCTCCATGAGGGCGGTGGCTTTTGTATCACGTTCCTGGACCTATCCTAGAACAGTGCCTGGCAGAGCAGGTGACAGGATGGATGAACGAACACCGACCCCCACCGCTAAGAAATGACTTCAGCATTATTTTTTGATAAAGGGTCATACAGCTTTATGAAGAGCAGGGTCCCCCTCTTTGTTCAAGAGCTACTCCCTTCGATAGATTTCACGAATGAGCACCCCTCTAAGTGAACATGGCCCAGTCTCAGGAGGCCTGGGCATCACGGCCCAGGTGGTGTACAGGGTAGAGGCAGAAATTAGTCCTAGTGATGAGTGTGTAATTCCACCTGAGCTATACCTCCCACGTATCTGGGATGTCTAGTGGCCTGGGGTACTAGTCCAGTTTGAGCTCAGATCTGAAGGATGAGGAGGTGTTAACCTAGGAAAGGTGAGATGAGGGAGGAGGAGTGGTCTGGAAGAGCATGTGCAAAGGCCCTGGGGAGGGAGGAGCGGTGTGCCTCAAGCACAGAGGGCTATGGGTAGAGTGGTCTGAGGTAGGCTGCAGGAGTAGGCCTGGCGTGGGTGGGGCCTAGACAGTGTAGGGCATTGTGGTCCATGCTGAGGTTTTTGTTCTTTGCCCTCAGAAAATGGGAAGCCACAGCAGGGTTACACAGAAAGTGGTACAATCAGATGGGAGGGTAGCTAAGTGGAAAGCGGGTTCGATTCCTCACTCCAGCCCCCGTTTGCCCACTATAATACATCCAAGGCAGTGCGACCCCACCTTGTCTGTAGCCCCAGTTTATAATACACAGCAGTCTTCTCAAGTCCCATATGTGTAGGCCCAGGGGGCTGATCCAACCACTGCAGCCTGGTGCTCCCAGGGCAGCGGGAGATGGTTTCAGGCTGATGAGAAATTCTGCAGGCTCTGACCTTGATAAGCTTACAGGCTGAGCTATGGCCACTGAGTCAGTCAACTGTGCCCCTCTGACCGCACCTGGACCTTGGTCCTAAAAAGCAAAAAGGTTCCCAGGTGGCGGACACTGCACAGGGCTCTCTGTGGCTTCAGCTCCTTTCATCCTCATGACAACCTTGGAGACAGGCATTGTACAGATGAGGACATTGTTCAAGAGGACCCCGTGAGGGAGCCGCAAACCCGGGACCTGAGCCCACATCTGTCTGCTGTTGCACGTGTGACTGGCAGCGTTGTGAAGGCTGAAATGCTGACCGTGACAGGAGCATTTTGTTCCTGGAGGCGGGCAGGGAGCCTCCGTCTCCGCGCCTGGAGCTCAGCCACCCCTGGCGCTGCCTCTTACATTTATTTACCGAGAGCAGTAACGGGTTATCAACACGGATCCTAGTGGCTCTAAAGAAACACACCCTAGCTTACACTTGATTTGACAAGGCCTCTGACACAGGCCACACTTGACATTGTGCTTTATCTTTTGTGAAGCATTTTGACATAGTATCATCAATTCTAGGAAGTATTATGACCCCCATTGTATAAGTAAACAGAGGCTCAGAGAGGTGCAGTGACGAGGTCGCACAGCTAGGAAGTGGCAGGGGTAGGTTTTCAGGCTCTGAGGTTAGTTTAGGACTTCCTTTGGACCATTCCCTACCCACCTGACTCCTTCATCTCGGGAATGCGGTGAAAGCTCAGGCTAGTAGAGTGTCTCCAACAAGCAAGGGCCAAAGGCTCAGAGAGCTGGAGGCTGTGAGGTTCAGTCTCTGTCCTCTTGACATACTTTACACGCAGGTTGGGAAGATTCCAGGGGTCTCTCCTCCCTCCCCAGCCCTCCCCACCCCTACCTGCCCCACTGAAGGGCAGACTTCTGTTCCACTCTCTGGAGCGTACTCCTGGAGAGCAGCACTCGTTCACTGCTATATCCTCAGTGCCTAAACAGTGCACACACGAGCACACAGTAGGTGCTCAATAAGTATTTGTTGAACGAATAAATGGATGCCCCTACAGCTTAAAGGGGTTTGGTTTTCTGCAGTGAGATGAGCACTGGGTGGGTTGGGAAAGAACAAGGCAACTGTGCACTCCTACTTTGTCTTAGTCTCCAGGCCAAGCCCCTGGCTCTGGCCTGGCTGTGCTCCAACTCCCTGTGCAACCCCAGGGCAGGGCAAGAAGGGCACTGTGAGGGCCAACTCTGCACCAGGCACTGGGTCAGGCTGTGGGGCAGAGTAACCCAGGTTCTTATCCTGTTCTCCTTCCTTGCTCTGTGGTTTTGGGGAAACCATCCATCTCTCTGAGCCTCAGCTGACTTAGTTGTAAAATCCACTCTAAACTTAGCAGCAGTAATTCTTCCCCCTGACACCAACGGCTGGGTAAGGGGACACTGCCGGCCTGTAACACTGGGGGCCTGGCTCTTCTCCAGAGGTTATTCCCGAACCCCCTCAGTCTGAGTGTCTGCTGCAACTCAGAGCTTACAGGTGACGGCTGCCCCTGAGGCCTTCCTTACCAATACCTGGTGTGGTGCGCTGAGGGGCCACAAGGGGACCAGGTGAAGCCCAGTGAACCCGTGTGACCTTGAACAAGTTCCTTCTCCTCCTGGGACCAGAGCAGCTACCTCATTTATCAAAGGAGGTGCTGGGTGATCTCTAAGGGCTCGGAGCTCCGAGCTGGGAAGCAGGAGACAGCCCCAGCGCTCCGCCCCGCCTCAGTTTCCCCAACTGCCTCCCCACGTGATTTCTAAGCGCACTTCCGGCTCGGAAAGAAAGCAAGCAACAAGCGGGCCGCCTTGTCTCCGCGGCAGTCTGCGCTGCGGAAGCGCGCGGCGACTCCCCGTGGATCCCACGCCCACGAGCCCCGGGGGGCGGGGTGGGGGGCAAAGGGTTTGCGGGATGGCAGCGGGGAGTGGCCTCGGCGGGACCGGGCCCCTTACCTGGGCGCTAAGGCGGCGGCAGCGGCGCGAAGGAGAAGTTGGCTCTGGCTCCTCCCGCCCGGCTCCTCCCCTGCCCCGGCCCGGCCCCGCCGCCCCGCGCTGGCCCCGGCCGGTGCCGCCGCCTGCCCTGGGCTGCCCGCCCCGAGCTCGCCTGGCCCCCCGGGCCCGGCGGACGTGCGTCGGGACAGCGGGGCCTTCCGGGCTCTAGCTCGCGGGCTGCGTGTCCCCACAGGGCTCGGCCCGCCGCCACTCCGCGACAGGGGTGCCGGCATCAGGAAGTGACGGGCCTGTCCCGGCGCAAAACTCGGGTTGTGGGTGTATTTGCCCTGCAGGAAGCAGCGCAGGGCAGCGCGCGAGGGAAGGCCGCGCAAGGCTGACTCAGCAAGGAAGTGCCCGCGAGACGCCCCGGCCGCCAGTGAAGGGCTGAACAGCAACTTGGATGGAAATCTTCCAAAGTGAATTATGAAAAATCAAAGAACCAGTCTCAGAAACGCCCTTGCCGCACGTATAGGGACCATGTGGAAGTTTACAGAGTGTTGAGATATCCACGCGCTCCTTTATTTTTCTTTCAGTTTCTCCAACGCTAACTTTGGTTCAGTCGCAGGACCTTTGCATCTGAGGTGGCGGTGCCTGGCACTCTGCCAACAGACCTTCCTCTTCCTGCGTTTGTTTCCAGCCTGACACTGCGGCGCGCACTCAGGCTTGCATCTGCGAGTCTCCCCTAACCAGTCAGCGGACTCGGTCATTGAACGAATGTTTACTGAGCACCTACTATGTGCCGTGTACTGTTCTAAGTGCAGGGGAATCATATCAGACTTCCAGTCCTGTTCTATGTAATCGTAGTATTTCGCACTCTATGGTATTATTTTGGCCATTTTGTTTGCAGTTTATTATCTGCCATCCCTACTAGAATTTAAAAGCCTGGAGAATGGGGGTCTTGGCTACCTTGTCCTCAGCTGTGTGTCCACCCCCAGGGACGGTGCCAGGTGCTTGATAGGCGCTCAGAGTCACTGAATGAATGCAAGAATGGATCTTATATCCCTAACAACCCTATACATTCTTACCACACCCGTTCTACAGGATAGGAAACAGGCTTAGGTCCAGGCCGTGCAGAAGCCCCAGAGCTAATGGGTGCCAGAGTAGGAGCATGAATCACCTTGACCACAAAGGCCGTTGCTCTTTGGATGAAGAGGGCACGCTACCTTGAATGGAAAAGACAGAGGATGGGGTCAGAGACCAGCTGTCAGTGCAGAATCTGTGACTCATGTGTGCCTGTGTAGAATGCTCTGGGCCTTTGTCTGCTCAGCTCCCCACTGGCCAGTTAGAACCAAGAATAGCCTCTCTGCCAACTGAGGTCAGATGGGTCAATAGTGAGCACCCTTTAGGGGCATAGGGAGTTATAGCTGAGCATGTGGGTCTTGTCAGGATAGAATATTAGTAACCGTATGGAAGTGACGCCCAGAGAAAAGGCTCCAGCCAGCCTTCCTCTCAATGTCTCGTGGCCCCCCCCCAGCCAGATTGGCTTTGAGGGATCAGGCATCATTGTGCACATGTCTTGACTTTGCCCTAGTCATGGATCTAATTTGGTTTGAGATCCTGTATTGAATACTCTTGACTCTGGACATTGGATCCAGTTACAGACATGTCTGCTGCCCATCCCGCACCCCAGTCTCGGGCACCGAACAGCACACGGGACCTCATCCATAATCAAGGCTGCTGTCGGAAAGGTGGGGAAAATATGTTTACCCCTCTAGTGTATGCCTGTACAATTTTTGAGGTTTGGTGTTGGACTTTGAAGAATTTACTTTCTTCGTCTGTAAAAGGAGGATCATTATGGCCCTCACAAGTTGTGTTGTGAGGACTAAATGAGGACATAGAGCTAAAGTGCTTTGAACAAAATCTGGCTCACAGGACATGCTCAGTAAAAATCAGCTGCCATTAGTTTTGGTAAAAGATACTTCTACTAAGATGTCTTCTGTCAACTTCTCCCAAAGAATGTTTAGGGGGTTGTGCTAGAAGGAGAAGCCATTTCATAAGCATTTACTAATTCAACCAGAATTTACTGAGCAGTGGGTGAGGCTCTAGGTATTGCAGATACAGAAGGGAAAGGCTGATCTTGGGCCAAAGTCACCAAATGTAGCAAATAAAAATGCAGGACACCCAGTTATGTTTGCTTTTCAGGTATACAACAAATACATGCTTTTTTTAGTAGGAGTTTGTCTTAATATTGCCCAGGACATAGTTATACTGAAAAATTATTCATTGCATATATGAAATACAAATGTAACTGGGTGTTCTATATTTTATCTGGCAACCCCACTGGGGCCCCACCCCCAGAGGTTCTGATTCTGCTGGTCTAGCGTTAGGCCAGGCATCGGTGTCATTCACGAGCTCCCCAGGTGTTCTAATGTGTGCCCGGTGTCGGGAACCACGGATGGAGGGCCCGTCTCTGGATTTTATTCTGCATGAGACGATGAGTTGCAGTGGGTTCGGGGCAGCGATGTGACATGATCTCATCTTTTAAAAGGATCTCCCTGGCTCTTCGGGGAGGTCAGAGGGATGAGAATGGACACAGGCAAGCAGTTAGGAGGCTGTTGCAATAGTCCGGGCCAGGAAGGGGTCTGGGTTTGTTGAGTGCCTCCTATGGGCTAGGCACAATGAAAGTATGTGATGGTGGCACAGGCTCTTGGGTCCTGCCTAGGCCTACCCAGTTTAGAATTTTTCAGGGGGTATGGAAACCCAGGAATTTGCACTTTAACAAGCTTCCCTCATGATTCTGATGAACAGCCAGTTTTGGAACAACGAAATGATTGGATTCTATTGTCTCAGAAGTTCTAGAACTAACCATGACTACTGTTTAGGGAGCATTATCCTTGTGGCTGACTCTATGTGCTTTTCATACATGTTTTATATCACTTAATCTTATGCAGTTTATACTATTATTAGCCTGTTTCACAGAAGAAAGAAGGACCTGAGGCTCAGAGAAGTTAAATAACTGAGCCAGGGTCACCAAGCTACAAGACATTAGAGCCAGGATTTGATCCTACATCTGGTTGATTCTGCTATCCTGATCTCTCATAGGCTTAAATATCAATACCGGTTTGAAGATATTTCTATGACTTGCAGATAGTGGATTCTCAGCAGGGAAAGGCTCCTTCACTATGTCCCACAGATGTCCATCTTTCTTGGATGTAGGTGGGGCGTGGCCTGGCATGGATTACTGTTGAATGGAACTGAATTCAAGAGTGATGTCACTCACTGAAGGCACCGCCACATCCCTTCCCAATGAGCATCTTTATGATGCTGTTATGATGAACTTGAGACTTAATGACTCAGAAGGTGGTTCATGGTCACTTTTCTAATGACACTCAGACATAAACAGTGCTCTGGTGGGGAGCGACTGGACACACTTTCAGAGGAGAGACAGGGTGGAGGGTGTTGCAGATGGTTTGTGGTGATCATGGATATTGCTACATTGCTGGGAAATCCCTTTTCTGTATCTCTAAGGCATCTTTGACCCACAGAACTTAACCTCTTTTTATTAATTGGACCATCAACTGGAATTGGCTACAGTATGTCACAGGGGTTGAGGGTCAAAGCCACTTGGATTGATATTTTTCCCCATTGTTCTTGTGTGCTAGGTAATAATTTTGTAGTCCTCTACCTTATCTCTTACACAGGGTTTTGGGTGATGACCTCTACCTGCTTCTTACCTAAGAATGCTTTACACTTGCCCCTGATATTTTGTAATGCATGAGACACACATCACTGATGGCATACAAAGTGCCCTTAGCCGATATGTGAACTTGCATTAAGTCACTTTGGATCATACATGAGAAACTTATTCCGTTCAGTCCTTATTCTGTTGAGAACAGTTTAATGTTATTGAATCTTTTTTTTGAGGTACACTTTTTATTTGTTTCTTGTAAACTACTAATCAAGGCCATTAATTAATATTTAAACTATTTTTCTTTGTGACAGATTCCCAAACAAAAAGTATATGTAAATATTTCTTTTTAAAACAACTTTTTTGAGATATTTTTGACATATAAAATTATATATATTTAAGGCCCACAAATTGATGTTTTGTTGTGTGTATACCTCATGAAAAGTTACCACAATCAGGCTGAATAACTTACGCTATCCCCTCCACGTGGTTACCCATTGTGGGGTATGTGCATGTAGGTTTACTTTAAGATCTATCTTCTTAGCAAATTTCAAGTATATGAGACGGTATTGTTACCTACGGTCACACGCTGTTCATTAGATCTCCAGAACTCTTTCATTTTGCGTAACTAAAACTTTGTGCCCTTCGGCCAGTATCTCCTCATTTCTCCCCGCTCTCTCTCCTTAGCTCCTGGCAACCACCGTTCTGCTGTCGAGTTCTATGAGTTTGACGACTCTAGATGCCACAGGTGAGTGAGGTGACGTGGCGTTTGTCTCTCTGTGTCGGGCTCATTTCTCTTGCTACACTGTCCTCTAGGTCCATCTACGTTGTCACAGTGGCAGGGTTTCCTTCTTTTTAGAGGCTGCATGATGATTCATTGCGCGCCTCTAAAATTTGCTAATAATCCTTTTTAAAGAAGGAAGGCCAGTCTTCAGTCTTCAGCTCAGAGACTTTGGCTATCTAAAATACTGAGGCAGGATTCAATTATTCTGTTATTTATTTATTTAATAGATATATTTTTTTATTTTGTCAAGATTTTAGAATGACCCAAAAGTTACAAAGAATATAGAGTTCTTTTTTTATTTTTTTACTTTAAATAATTTTTTATCTTTCAGTTACACATGACATACAATTTTACATTAGTTTCAGGTTTACAACCCAGAGATGAGACATTGTATAACTTGCTAAGTGATCATCCTGATAAGCCTAGTACCCATCTGACACTATACACAGATATTACAATATTATTGACTGTGTTCCCCGTGCTGTACTTTACATCCTCATGACTATTTTGTAGCTACCAATTTGTGCTTCTTAATCACTTCACCTGTCTCTTCCATCCCCCTCCCGTCTGGCAACTGTCAAAATATTCTCTG